TTTGTAGAGAGAATCGAACGGTGTCTAAACTTTTTAACGTTTATTTTGTCATCGAACTTGATCTGATGTATATGATTAAAGGGGGCTTACGCAGTCTGCTTTCAGTTGGGATGATCTATGCGCCTTTAAGTTTCCCAAAGCCTATTGATCTATCTAGCGATAAGTAACCCCCCCTCTGTATCCAGGTGATATTTTCTGTAATGGCTCGAGAGCAAAGCAACAATTTCAGGTCTTCTCTACTCTGGCATTGCCCGCTGACTTCCTGTGCCCATGAGAGCCTTCTCGACTAGCGGAAAGGAACCATAGCTAGGAAAACGGGTTGGTTTGGATCCATCCATCTACTCCTATTCGTCGTGTTGTTCCTCCCACACGCTTTCGTCAGTTCTCTGGCATGGACAGCTATGGCACAGCAGCAGTGAATATCTGAATGAATACCGACGACAAAGTCAACACCCATACAATGCAATATACAAGACTCAAGTTCACCAGGATAATTACGGCTATAAGCGGATGGCCCTTAGTCTCGGGAGATGCTGCGCTGAAATCAACCTAGCCGCTCAACCCAGCCGATAGCATCATCTGACTGGGCCTCTGCTTCGAAGTTAACTAGGATGGCGATCAAAGGTGGACCCGAGAAATCGAAGGCCGGGTTGCGCGTGAGTCGACCTCTTGTTTTCTGGCTATCCTAGATCGGCCCCTGAGCTGGCAGTCTTCCATCTTAAGGACACGAACGATCTATATATACCATCAAGATATGTTGATACTATGCCTATATGATGGTTGCGTACTGGCCGCACCCGTATATGGCGCGTTTGCTGCTAGCGCTTCAGCCAAGCTGCAAAATGTAAGATAAAAAAGGAAAAAAAGAAGAAACTCCCCTGACAGAGAAGGTTAACAGGCACGGCCTTATACGTGGTTCAAGTTCCATCGTTCTTAGAACGACTTGACTGCGCACAACGAACTCGGATGCACCCGTTTCGTAGAGACATCATCACATATTATCGCATACTTCATGAAGAGTACGCGGTATCTGGAGGCCTGACGCGATGTACAGACAAAGGTTCATCGTACGGGTGTTTCTTGTGGTAAACTGGCCGTCGCCGACGGCGTCATGTTCACCAGCGCGAAGCGAGCGCCGGCTCCAAAACGCCGAGTGATAAGATACTGAAGCAGTGGCCAAGACACAGAACAATCGAGTCTACAGACGGCTGCCATATGGAAGCCTTGTAGCCCTTGGCAGCACAATCAATAATCATAAGCGTGGTGTGAGGCGCAAGCGAAGTTATTCGGGGGTGCTGGGGGGTGGGGCGCTGACTACGGAACACGGCACCCAGGTGATATCCCATGCGACTTTGGCAGAGAGTGACGGCAGCAGTGATGGCACATCCACAGGAAGAGCACGCATGCAGAACAATAAACCAAACCATGCTTGGACCAGACTGGGCGGAGACTTGGCGGGGGGAACCACGGTTCCTGCTTATTAAAGTCCGTTAGTGGCTGGAGTGCGACGTGGAATGCAGACAGGGCTGGTAGTGTGAGCTAGTGTTCGGAATGCGGCAATTGAATAGTCACCTCATGGTTCCGAGAGGCCGGAGGTACGCAACCATGGAAATGTGGCCAAGCCAGCGACCCAAGACCTAAGAACGGCTACATGATTGTGACGAGTCGGTTTTCTGAGGCCGTTGATCCGAGAACACACTGTTCCAGCAATCTACGCAACGATATCCGTTTAGGCGTGCTTTTCGACTCATTGTAACTTGTAGATCAGCTTTGGCGATGTAGAACCTTAACCGGTCACGGTTACGAAAGGGGCTGTGCTCAGATTCGGCAACGAGCGAGACACTCGGTGCAGCAACCGTTTGACCGGCCCGGCAATGTAACGATGTTGTTCGTCTTGCCAAAATTTGGAAACCAGTATAAACCAAGATTTGCTGGTCGGCCACCGAGCTGCGGTCATTAAACTGGCTCTTGGAACGAAGCTAGACGGACAGGACGGAATACTTGGATCGCGACAATGCGTTTGACGTGGACACAACAGGTGCGCCTTCGGAGCCGATGATGGCACGGAAGCAAGATGCCGGGCGGGGCCGTGTCAACTGGCCCGTAGAGGAGGGAAATCTCTCCCTCCCGTGTAACCGCCAAGACGAGATGGGGAGAACTTAGAAGGTCGTTGGTCGATCTATTAAGGAAAGCCACACTGGTAGGGGGCAAGCAAGGGGACACTAGTCTATCGCAATCAAGCAATTGCGGACAATAAAATTCAAGAGTGGATACCCTGTCATCCAGCCGAAATACGGTGTGATTGATGGCCAGTGCAATCTTCTAGGCCCCATCGGGGAGAAGCCAGTCACGAGATGGAAGAGAATGCAGGGGAATACGGATTCATTGTTAAAATTGGGACTTGGCAGGGGACGGGGACCGAAGGATGGGAGGCGAGTCGATACTTGGGTAGTTCCAAATGCAAAAACAAAGTGGAAGAGAAAAAGCGACGTTTCCCTTTGTTCAACCAAAACGGCTTGATCGGCACGCAGGAACGACACGCAGCGACGTAAACCTCGTATGGCAGCACGGGTCTGTGGTTTAGCGCAAGAAAAAATTGTAATAAAATAAATAAGATAAGAAAATGAACAAATAAAAAGACGGACCATGGGAAACCCATTTACGAATCGTCGTCCTCTTCATCCTGACTGGGTACGGCTCTACACGCTTGGCCCCATTATGTCAAGGCCAGTTTGGGCTGCTGGTCCGGCTCGCGTGTTTAATAGTGCGACGGACAAAGGAGCAAGCTATTAGAAGCCTGACCGAGGTATCCGTAGAGTCAGCCAAAAGGGTCCGTATCACGATTCCGAGGAGTCTCGACATAAACTCGTCACGAGACATGGAGAGGGTAGAATTCCAAAGTCGATGGTCTGTCCCAGCGTCGAGACCGTTTTGACGGTTGCGGGTAAAATGACGGCCACCTTTTGGTATCTTGACGGCCCTCTAAGCCTATCTCAGTAAGTCTGTTGCCTATTCGAGTTAGTGTCAGCAGAAATACTATAACCCATTCCATCACGCGAACATAACCAACTAACCCAGACCCTAACCATCCTAAGCCACTAACCCTACGCATCTTTAAAAGCATATAAACGATGCGTAGGGTTAGTGATTAGGGTCTGGGTTAGTTGGTTATGCTAGGGTGATGCACGTGTTATTTGGGTGTGCTGTGGTGGTAGTGGCTAGAGGGCCGTCAAAATACCAAAGGGGGGCCGTCAATTTACCGGCAACCGTTTTGACTGTTGGCAAGGAAGGTTATGCCGGGAGGATCCTAGTGGCGAGCCTTTGAGATGATACTATTGTGAAGTGAGAACGGCGGATGATCCCTCCCCCCTCCCTTCTTCCTCGTCCCTTTGCGGCGGGTGGGTAGAAGCTAAACTAGGTTCCGGGTTCGCCGTCCGACGTTCAATGAATCCACCACCCCCCCGGTCCCAGCCTATCCAGTTTAATAACAGAGCGCATTGTCGTCAAAAGCCTGACCATGTTGTCTCACAACGTTTCGGAAGAGGGCTGGGTTTTATTCCAAAGTCGAAAGCCGTTTGCCTTGGAGTTTTCAGATGTTGCATCCTTCATTAGAGAGTTTGTTTATAGAACAGTGCCTCTTGGCCGTATGTCGTCTGTTTGGAAGAGGAAGGCCTTGAGAGGATGATTTCAAAGGGACCCTGTAATGGGTTAATGGACCCCGGACGACCCTGCAGATAAACGAGATCACCTCCAGCGTAGCCAGTGAGATTGGCCCAGAGCGGGAATTTAATCAAAGAAGCCAAGCTTTGGAGATGTGCCACTGCAGTCGTAGTCGGCGCCGTTGCACCGCTCATCCTCGGGGTCTGTTCCACATGTGCTGCGCCCAGGCCGTTATGTTGCCCGAACCATCCCGTCTCGTCTTCTCATCTTCGCTTCGCTCGCGTTTACACTAGGACACTTGGCCAGGGGGGGGGGACAATGAAGAGGGCCCCTCCCGTCTGTGACGCTCCCCAGCCCTGCAACTGTGTGAGATGTCTTGCTTCAGGAATTAAGATGCCGAGAGGCTGTGTGCGGCATCTAGCGTGTGTGTGTGTGTGTGTGTGTGTGTGTGTGTGTGTGTGTGTGTGTGTGTGTGTGTGTGTGTGTGTGTGTGTGTGTGTGTGTGTGTGTGTGTGTGTGTGTGTGTCTGTGTTGTGTAAGTGTGTTGTGTATGCGCGTGTGCTTCCAATTCAACTTACAGAAGGAGGGGGGGAAAGTTGAGATGATCGAGGGGCGAATGAAATTCGCGTTTGGTGGGTATTCGGTACGGTTAGTGTTCATTCGTATGAATAGCTAAGATGGGCTGGTGAAGATGCCTGTGTGACGCTAGGCCGAGATGAGACAAAACCGCTGAGCATCGTATCCAGAAGGCGGGAGTCGTGGTGCCTTTCCCATTTTTAATTAACATGCCACCGTTCGGCCGGTGTATTCTGGTTGCCGCCTTCCCCTTCCTCTTCCTCTCTTATATCCCAACCGTGTTATCACTCTTGCCTCCTCTCTTCCCCTACACTCAAGGTCTACGCTGTTCCTGGGATATCAGGTTTCTCTCCCCCCCAGAACTTATTGCTGCTGCTTTCTTCCTTCTCTCTGTAACACTAGCCCGGCACACGTCAACATCGATATCCCGGTCCGCCCGCCCTATCTGTCAATCCTCTCTACGTCTTGGCTCCCTCTTTGTTTCTCGTCACTCACTCCAACCAACCCTCGAGGAGAATTGTTTCTCTCCTGGACCACTTCAGTTTCGGATTCTTCTCTTGCCTGTTTGGCCTCCCCCCCCCCTCAATACCCACCCACCTCTTCTCGTCGCTCTCTTGGATCTCTCACGTTCCCCCATTTATATCACGGCTAGCGAACAACACCACGTTCGCCAACTCCCCTCCCGCTTCACGTCAAATACTCCCTCTTGACCCCCCACAAATCAAGATCATAGGTCCAGACAAAGACCTGTGCATCTAGCAACCATGCTTGTGAGTACCCAGAGCTATTCATCTTCTCCATCGATGGTTTCCATTGGTTCTACTGGTTCAACCCACCGCTTCGACGGTTGCAGGAATCCGTCGCGGCGACGATCAGGCCGTGAGAGACACGCCAAGTTCCTACTGTCCCATGTGGGGAGCCAGCCCCATCATCTGAATACTGCGATGGCGGCGCCTCGTTGTGCCGATCCTCCTCCTCATTTATACACCTTGTTCTTCTGCGTCAATGTCAATCTGCCGGTGCAGCGCTGATTCAACTTGTCCCTCTCCCACAGGCCCAAACTGCTCTTGTCGCGTTGAGTGCGACTCTGGCTGCAGCCGTCAAGCCCCTCACTGTCCAGGGCAATTCCTTCGTCAACGCTGCTGGTGAAAAATTCCAGATTGTGGGTGTCGACTACCAGATCGGCGGAAGCGCTGGTTACGATCCTACCCACAACCGCGACCCCCTCAGCGATGGCGATGTCTGCTTGCGCGATGCAGCAGTGCTGCAGCGCCTCGGCGCCAACGCCATCCGCGTCTACAACCTCGATCCTAACTTGAACCACGATGCGTGCGCTTCCGTCTTCAATGCCGCTGGCATGTACATGATCCTCGATGTCAACTCTCCCCTGGTCGGCGAGAGTATCACCAGCTTCGAGCCCTGGACCAGCTACTACGCTGCCTACCTGAACCGCACTTTCGCCATCGTCGAGGCCTTCAAAAACTACCCCAACACCCTGGCATTTTTCTCCGGCAATGAGGTCATGAACAATGTCGAGACGGCTCAGTTCGTTCCCCAGTACCTGCGCGCTGTTACCCGCGACTTGAAGAACTACGTCTCCAAGCACGCCGACCGCCCCATTCCCGTCGGTTACTCGGCCGCCGACGTCCGCGAAATCCTCGTCGACTCCTGGAACTACCTGCAGTGTGCCGAGAACGGCGATGCTAAGGACCCCAGCCGTATTGACCTCCTCGGCCTCAACTCTTATTCGTGGTGCGGCGACTCTGACTTCAAGAAGTCCACCTACGACCAGCTCGTCTCTGATCTGCAGGGTACATCCGTTCCCGTCTTCTTCTCCGAGTATGGCTGCAACCAGGTCACCCCTCGTATCTTCACCGAGGTTGGCGCCATCTACGGCCCCGACATGAAGGACCTCTTTTCGGGCGGTCTCGTTTACGAGTACAGCCAAGAGGACAACAACTTCGGCCTTGTCAAGGTCAACGATGACAAGTCTCTCACCCTTCTGATCGACTACCAGAACCTCGCGACCCAGTACAACAAGATCGACTTCAAGACCCTCCAGGCCGAGAAGGCGCCTAGCAACCCCCCCGCGCCTCCCAAGTGCGCTTCGTCCCTGATTAAGGAGACGGGCTTTAACAACAACTTCACCTTGCCGGCCGTCCCGCCCGGAGGTCAGGACATGATCGACAACGGTATCAAGAACAAGCCCTCCGGCAAGATCATTTCCATTTCCGACTGGACTGTTAAGTACAAGGTCTACGGCGTTGACGGCAAGACGGAGATCACTGGCCTCGCCGTCTCGCCTCTTGCTGACTCCGACATCAACACGCCCGGTACCAACACTGGCGGCTCCACTGTTCCTGCCACTTCCTCCCCCACGGGCAGCGGCAGTGCCTCATCTCCTTCAAAGAGCGGCAGCCCCGCTGTCCCGTTGCGCCCGGAGGTCGCTGCGATGGCCGCGCCGCTACTTGCCCTCCTTTTCTTGTAGGAAACTCTGCAAGTGTACGCTCGACATTGTATGTAGCTCTTTCGTAAGGCTTGGTGGTAATTACTTGGCTTCTTTCTGGCACCATAGATTCCCCGCGGTTTGTTTTAGTAGCCTCAATATATACTTTCTAACGAAAGTATGCTCTTGAATTGTGATTCAATGGGTGTGATCAATTGCATGAACGCTCCGCTATCTGTCCAGCAAGACTTTTGAACGCATTTCGCTTGACTCTGGCCAGCTTTCTGTATAGCTGTGTCTCGCAAATCGACACTGTGCTCGGGGCTCTTCCTCAGACTTGATAGATTATATCCAGCCTCGAACCTTCAAAGCTAATGGGTGCAACTGAACGGGCACTTCGAGCCTCTTGGCGGAGTGAGTGGTTTGAAATTCGCAGCAGCAATGAGTGCTTACAGACATCATTGAACGCGGTCGACCAAGTAAAAGGCAGCGAAGCGACAGAAGGCTCTCAGGGACAGGGTCCCCTTCACCGCCCCTCCATAGCCGAGCCATGGGAAGCCCAACATTGAGTGATGGTTTTGATCTTCAGCGGCAACCTGCACAAATTCTGCCGGCATATGGGCTAGGCTCAGCCCCGTAAGGTAGAGCAACCACCCCACCATACCTGGCCTGCCTTTAGGTACCTGTCTCCCTCCCTAGAACCCGCGTCCGTCCCCCATACCTGGATTGTGACTGTGACTGTCTGACAATCTTGACCGCCCACCACCACCACCACCACACTCTACCTACCTTACCTAGTAGGTAGGTAGCTCTGCCCCTCCGAGACCACCGACCGCCGCCCGACCACCCCCCGTGGATCTTTTTTCTTTGAAACTCTAACGACTGCCTTCTGCCGCCGCTCTTTTTTGACCTTCGTCTCATTGGAATGCTGCCTCGCCTCCGACCGCTCGCCCAGGCATTCTCACGACAACGCCCGCTGACCTGCTCCGTTTCCCCAAGTCAGTCGTTCCGTGTCGTGCACACAATGGCGCCAGGTAAGCAAAAGATCGTGACGTCGCACATACTACCGCCCTCCCCAAGACGCCTAAGCTGTACCCAATCTCCGTACTGCCCCTCCACCCTCCTCCACCGCCGAAAAAGAAAACTCCCTCCACAAGAAAAAGAAAAGGAAAATGTCATAAAGGGGAGGGAGGGGGAAAGAGATACATTTTAAAGACTAACAACACCCCGCACCTGCAGTCCTCCCCTCCGACCGCCGCCCGATCGTCATCTCCGGCCCCTCGGGCGTTGGCAAGGGCACCCTCTACAAGCTTCTCTTCGAGCGCCACCCGGACACATTTGCCCTCTCCGTCTCCCACACCACTCGCGGCGCCCGTCCGGGCGAGCAGGATGGCGTCGACTACCACTTCGTCACGCGCGAGGCTTTTGACGACCTCGTCGCCCGCGACGGCTTCGTCGAGCACGCCGTCTTCGGCAGCAACGCCTACGGCACCTCCAAGGCCACCATTGAGGAGCAGTCCGCCAAGGGCAAGCTCGTCGTCCTCGACATCGAGATGGAGGTACGACTCGCAACCGCCCCCAGCACCCCCACGTCTTTCAGGCTCTGCCTTGGGGGGGGGCTTCTTGACCGTCGTGTACTGACACACAAAAACAATAGGGAGTCAAGCAGATCAAGCAGTCCAACTTCCCCGCTCGCTACATCTTCATCGCGCCGCCCTCGGAAGAGGAGCTCGAGAAGCGCCTTCGCGGCCGCGGGACCGAGAAGGAGGAGAGCATCCAGAAGCGCCTCGCCCAAGCCAAGCTCGAGCTTGAGTTCTCAAAGACCCCCGGCGTCCACGACATCATCATTGTCAACGACGACCTCGAGAAGGCCTACAAGGCCCTCGAGGACTTTGTCTACAAGTCCTCCTAAGCCGTGAGGCATACGGGCAGCGCACCTTGTATGGGCGAGGGAGAGAGAGAGGCTGCTGGCCGGCGTGGACGGGGCAGCAGGACGATGATGGCGACAGCGGGCGTTGGGATCTGGATACATTTTAGAATACAAAAACTTTGCGGGTTCCTTCTACATAGCGCGGGCGGTCATTGTGCATGCATATATCCTATTAGAAAGATATAAAAGCAATATAGTGCCATACATATATGGCTGAACCTCTGGCCAAAGTTTGGTCTCAAGGAAACTTCATCACCTCACATAAAACACCAAGCGCCAAAAGTCATAAGCCATGCCGGATGTATTCCACGAGGTATCGAAACGAACTCTCTATCAGAGTACGAATGGATTAAAGAGTAAGAAGAAAATGGGGGGGCAACAAATGAAAAAGCCGAGCTCGAAACCGCTGCTTTAGAAAAGCGAAAATAAAATAAAAACAGTAGAAGTGCGTCCAGCTGTAAGACGGGAGGGGGGAATGATGGACTATTTCGCCTGTACGAGTACCATGAAGGCCTGAAAGGGGGTGTGACCAATATCCATGCGCCATGCCGGCATCTTCGATTCTCCCATGCGAGCGAATTTCCGCCAAACCTTCCCATGGGTATAGCAGCTGCTTTCTCCCTCAAATTATCAGTCGATGCAACCTCCGCCTGCTGGCAAAGCCATGCCTCCTTCTTTTTGGTCTGCGCATAACACCATGAGATTAAAAGTCATCAGAAATCCGATTGCCCGAGAACATCATTGCCGGCTGGCTCCTCGAGTGCGTAGGTAAGACCATTCGTCAGCTAGTACCCATTCATGGTCATTCGTTGCGAGCTCCGGCTGAGCTCACGGTCAGCAGCAGGACTGATGGGTCTGCTACCACCACCGTGTGCGCTGCTCTCCTTGAGAGCCAAGAGCTGCTTAGCACGGAAAGTCTCGTAGTGGATCTGCGACGTGGTCTCGATGAGGTCCTGGAGGTGGGTGCGGAGAAGGAAGTTCCTCAGGTACATGAATTCGCAGTGGTTCTCATCCTCGACGTTGATGACACCCCAACGGTTCTGGCGACCACGGACCTGCTTGCCGTTGACAATGATGGACTTCTCAGAGCCGACCACAGCGAAAGGGACCAAATCCTGTTCCACGATTAGCAACCGACATGAGTATGATCCGCACCAATATGGCTCACCTTGATCTGAGTGTTCAAGTTACGCTCCTCGTCGTCAAACTCATCGTTGTCGTACGGGTACATCTTGAGGTTGTGGAAGGCGAACTCCTCCTTGATACGCTCCTTGAACTGCAGACGCTCCTCGAGGGTCAAGGTGTCGGACTTTGCAATGACGGGAACGACGTTGACAACATCAGACAGCTTCTTCAGGACGACAATATCAATAGGCTTGAGGGAGTGGCCTGAGGGCTGGATGAAGAAGAGGCAGCAGTGGATGCGGGTGTCTTGAATGTAGCGCTCACGCTGAGCAGTGAGCTCCTTTCGCAAGTAAGCGGAGTGTTGGTCCTTGATGTACTTGACGATGGGATCCCAGCAGCGGTCGTTGTTCACCAGGTCGCCGTATCCAGGGGTGTCGACAATGTTGAGACGCAGACGGACACCATTCTCCTCAATCATGTGGGAGACGGCCTGAATCTCAGTAGTCGAGCGAACGGCCTCGTCAGGGAGCAAGCGGCCCTTGGAGTCGATAAGGTGGGAGGCAAAGATGGTGTTGATCAGGGTGGACTTGCCCAACCCCGTCTGGCCTGGTTGTAGAAACACGATCAGTCAGGCGACTGCTACGGAGACGAGGTCGCGGACAAGCGGGCTTGCTAGGCCGGCAGGTGATTGCGATGGCACAGGGTTGGAGAGGAACTAACCGACACAGATAACATTGAACTGGAAGCCTCTCTTCAGGAGCTTCTTCTCAATCTGGGACGTGATGCTATCGAAACCAACATGGGTCTGGGGGAAGATGGTCTGGGGCTGCGCCATGGCGATAGCTTTTCCGCGAGGGAACGAGAGCGGGTGGTGTGGTGTGGTGTGGGCTTTGTTATTAAAGAGTGAAAGTGAGATACACTTCTTTATTCCAAGAAAGGTATCCGTTACTTGGTCTCTCGATTGTGGCCGAGTTGAGGTGAGAGGTTAAAGGAGGGTCGGGCGTCGGAGAAGCGATGGGCAGGGAGAGGGAGAGAGAGAAAAAGAGGATCACGAGGTTGAGGGATGTTTCGAAGGACACAAGCCGGTGAATGGGAAGAGTGAACCTGATCTGGCCGGGACCAGGAGGGTAATTTCCTCTCTCTGCTGGCACCTGCTTGCTACCCGTCCCGGTGTCTTGTCTGTCAGGCATTGGCTGTGGCCGTTGGCTGCAGCTAATAGGTTGTTCCTTCCGCTCCAGCAAACAATAATTTCCCTACAGTACAGGGAGGTGCAGGGGCGGAGGGAAAGGGGAAAAGGGGTCCCCATTGCGCTGATTGGCTATGCCGCGTCCGTGCATCCTTGGGAATCTGATTGGCTGGCAGATCTCAATCGATAGCTCCTGGTCGCACGCTTTTTTTTTTTTTTTTTGCCCTTCCCGTTCGGAATGGAAGAAGCTTAAGCCTCGTTGACGTGAGCGACAGACAGTGGGTGCAACTGTCTGCCTTAACATCCACCATCTCGAACAAGGATCGCAAGCTCGACCATCGGCAGCCCAAATCTCTCGGCCCCATTCGACATCACCACTATTCCGAGTCGATTTTATATTCGACGGTTCCTGCAATTTTACGAATGCCAGTGCCCCCTACCTGATCTCGAGCCGATCCATCATCAATCATCCAAAATGGCCGCCATCGCCATGGGTGCGCAGCCTTTGCGCATCACCTCTCTTCTTCCCCGAATTTCCGCGCCGGCTTTCACTCAGACGCCAAGGATACTTTCACTTTACACGCGTCAAGTCACCAACTCCATCCTTCCGCTCTCCTTCGCCCTTCCTGCATTTAACCTCAATATCCCTGCCTGGCTAGGCGGCATCTGGGAATCCATCCTGAGGGCGGTGCCCAAGAAGAAGACCTCGCACGCCAAGAAGAGACACAGACAAATGGCCGGAAAGGCGCTCAAGGACGTCAAATCTCTGTGCAAGTGCCCGGGCTGCGGCCAGATCAAGAGGCAGCACATCGTATGCCCACACTGCCTTAGCAGTACGTATTGCTTTGCCGTCATCTGATATCCCTTTACTGACAATTGCCTGACAGAAATCAAGGACTTGTGGAGAGATGAGAACCCCTCGGGAAAGTTCATCTAAACCGCCCAATGGCCGTGTAACAATTCGAGACGTGTAGATTCAAGTGTACAGCTGGTTAGCATATTGTGGCGTTTGGGACAATCCATGACTTCTTCGGACGTGCTTTCGCCGACGCTCCTTCCCACGTTATAAGGGTGTCGAGACTCTTAGTAGTGTCTGCTGAGTCCATTATCGTTGCTGGTTGCTTTTTGGCATAACACCGTCCTCGGCGGCCGACGTCAGCAGATGGAGGGGAAAGTCATTCCAGTATTTTCATACCCATGTCTCCGGCTGGTCTATCTAATGGCCGAAACTTGCGAATCATTGAATCAGCTTTCCCAGACGTGGCTCGATCCTGTATTCGTCAGAGGGATCAGTGAGACTATGGGAGCACTCCTGTATCCCGAAAGTAGATATCATCCATCAAACCAGCATCCCGAGCACCACGCCCAATGCTAAGCCGAAGGCATTTTCGGCTACAAATCACTTGACCCCCTAAAACCAATTCTTCAATCAGTTATGGCAGGGCGCAACGTCGGCTTCTGAGTCAAGCCCCGCTAGGAAGCTGATGAAGTTAAACAGCCTCCCTCGCGAGCTTATACTCGCATATCACGAAGGGAAAGTTGAAACACAGCATTAATTAAAAGAGACGCATAGGTCAGCCTCATCATGGTAAGCACGACTCATCTAAAAGCCTCATCGTGATGGTGATTCATTAAGTACATTCGACTCGTCGTGAGTATCCTGATGCCGGAGCTGATGCCGGAGCAAGGACTGTGGCGGCAGGATTGGCCCTGGTGAAGTTATCTTGCGTCCATTTCAGGTAGTCCTTGAATACTACAACACCACCGGGACCAGGCGCCTTCGAGGGAACGATTCCAGCCGTGACCCCGAGGAGAGGATTTGCTAGCAGCATATGAACTTGCAAGAGAGATATGTGTGATGGCCTTAGGTATTGATCAACACTGCCGTCCTTCCTTCTATAAAGAAGCAGTAGCGATACGCTTAGCAGTATGGAAGGTTGAACATCGACAGACGCCCAGACAGTTACCTTCGAGGCGTTGCGGGATAGACTTTGAGTGAGTTCCTTTGCCTAAGGTACAGATATTACCGAATAACCACCTGCTTAGCTACCAAATTTTCCATGTGCAAGATTAACAGTTTCCAAATTAAGTTGAAAAGTTGCGCAAGCATGAAGAGCAAACAATGGAGCCCTAGCCAATCTCAACCCGGAAATAACCATCGGCTTATGTATGAAATCACTTGCTATACTTCAACACTGACGCATTGTTCACAATCCCCTTTTGTTGTTCGAGGCCGGGAGTTCCAGTTACGCCTATAAATGTTGACCTCATTCTCCTTGTTCAAGTGTACCAAACCAATCCAGTCCGTACGTGCTTGATATAGGACTCAGTTACCTCTCAATCTTTCAAGTCAAAGCCGTTCTCAGCACTATCATTTCCAATCCTGCAATCGTCAGCCTTGTTTGCATGCCTACAGCGAGGATGCTAATTGATTCGGGGGCTGATTAGAAGGCACAAACGTCTTCGACAGGGTCGTGCGGATCTGCCAAGCCTACTAGGCACTGCCGCAACTGGCTCTCCACTGCCAGAACGATACCATGATCGAGTTGCTCCGTAAGTAAGAGTGCAAGTTCTCGAGCACCTACACCATCTCTTGAAACAAATTGGCACTTTGAAATATGTGATTTAACGAAATTCTATCGGGGAAAAGTGTATGATCAGGTTCGCCTTCATTTGTGGCAGGACGCCGTACCACTCGATCACATTACAAGATGACGAAATCGAATAATCATATTGGATAATCGTACTTATCATTGCAAGCGCGAAAGGTAGACTGGGATTGTACCCGAAGATATTTGAAGGAAATATAACGAAGAAGGAAACCAGATACTAGCCTCATAGTTCAAAACCAAGTTGCATATTGGGTAATAAGATGAGTATTTGTCTCATTCAAAACCCACGCTGAGACAATGATCGTTCTATGTGTCACTCGCAAAACTTGTTGCAATGGATGGGAAAAAACAAGTATTTTGGGAAGGGATTAGGAAACTGCCAACAGAGGCACTGATAACTTCCTTGGGATTCGTGTAAATCAATATCGGAAGGATTAAATGGTGAGGTTGAGTTTTGGTGACTGATTCTAGCAAGGGTGTGGAGGGTGCCCCTCCATTGCCCCTCCCTCTTCAGCTGCTTGCTGGTATTTGTAGGGGGTCTTTACTCGCCAATATGTGATGTCAGCCCCCACCTAGCCGACCACATCGCGCTTGCAACTTTCCCATTAGCAACCGCGCATCACCCACAGCGTCACATGAACTGGCAATCATGGTAAGAACTCCAGCAGTTTCTCCTGCTCGCAGCGGAAGCTAATCTTAGCAGTCGAAACAATATTTGACCACACACACTGTGGACAATGGTGAGCTGGCTCGATATTTGGAGCTCATGGTTTTCGAGCGGGACTTTGTTGCCGATCTGGCGGGCGACTCCGGCAAAGAGCAACAGATAGCAAACGAGCATTTCATGCTTTGTATCTCTCTTGTCTGCGAGCGGATCGTCCACTATTCATGTTCACAACACATCAGACCCCGCAGTTCCCATCACACAGTCCATCAGCGGCGCGCACAAGCTAGGCTGCCATCATATTTGCACCTCGCGCAATGGCCTGGTCGCTGCCAGCGCGGGCTTCGCCGGCGAAGTGAAGATTTGGGTCGTCGACAAGGACACGAGCGAGTGGAAGCTGCATTCAGAGATCACGAACCAAGCGGCCAAGGCTGGCGAGGTGTGGGCCATTGCCCTCAGCGAGGATGGCAAGTTCCTCGCGGGAACAACCTACGACGGCCGCGTAAACGTCTGGGACACCAGTGAAGAGGGAACGCCCAAGATCAGAGAGTATGAGACGGGTAGCCCGGGCACGGGAAGTTTTGGGATGTCAGTCGACTTAAGCCGGGATGGGAAGTACACCGCGAGTGGCCACGAGAACGGTGCTGTCTACGTATTCAACAATGACACCGGACGGCTGTTGTTCTCATTGCCCAGTAAGACCCCCCCCCCCCCAAGAAGGCGTCCGAAACGCCAGCTAGTTAACCATGTCCTCAGGTTTGGTCAAGTCCGTTCGTGCTGTAGCATTCTCTCCTGGGAACACGAGACTTGCTGCTGCAGGAGACGCATCCATCATTGCACTCTATGACATCAAGAACGGCGAGCAGGTCAGCAACCTGACAGGCCATGCTTCTTGGATCACCTCTATCGACTGGAACGACACCGGCGAATACGTGCTCAGTGGCGCCATGGATGGCAAGGTCAAGGTATGGTCTGTCGAGCGCAGCGCCTGTGTCGCAACGCACAGTGAGACGGACAAGGCACTATGGGCTGTCAAGTGGCTTCCGAAGACCGGAAAGAACGAGTCTTTCTGTACAGCGGGCGCTAACCGAAGCATCTCCTTCTACAGAGAAGCTACTGGAGCATAGATGGAAGAATAAAAGTCACAAGGAGGGTCGTGTGTCTAAAATACCCTGATGCGAGGCATTTCGCTATGGCGGATCCCAAGACAGATGATATAGACATGCCGAAATGAACAATAACGATGATGACAGTACCAAGACAGTGAGAATATTCGATATTACACCGTAGAGGTTGAGGCAGGGCACGTGCTTTCGTACCAACCTCGCGTTGCCCCGCCAAATTAAGGCCCCTGCCGCCTTTCTGCCCATTTCGTCATCCACTACACATTGGACTTCGTGGTTTAACAGAGAGTGATTTCGGGACGACACCGATTGGCGACGTTATCCGAACCACCTACACCCCACTCGAGATATCTCAGTTACAGTACCGCTAAGGGTTTATTGATATCCTTATCATTGACCGCATCGTTCAACCTTAGATCATACAGACACCTTATCACACTCCAGTCACATACTATTCACACAATGCCCACCACCCGAAGATCAGCAGGAGGAGCCCGGGCTAGAGCTGGCCCGACTCGGGGCCAGTCGACCATCAGTTTCTCTCACCGGGTCTCCAAGCCCGTGCCCAAGGAGCAAAAGACCGCCCTCACCTCCGCTGTCGAGAGAGTGGAGATCGACAAGCCAGCCAAGAAGGAGGAGAAAGAAGCCAATGATATCCAGCTTGACGAGCCCACAAGTCTTGAGATCGAGCAGGCGGAAGTCAAAGAGGAGCCCCTTGAGGAGTCGGACTCCACGATCAGGGCGAAGAAGATTACCGACGCCCAAATCAACAAGTATTGGAAATTAATTGAGGCTCAGCGCATTGCGCCTAGGGTTCATCAGAAGGACGTGAGTTTGGCAGAGAAAGTACTGCGGTATTTTGATGTCAGCTCGCAATACGGTGTAGGCTTCCCTGCCCATCTGATGTTGTTATAATACTAACAAGCTGCACAGCCTTGTATCGGCCTGCAGCGCATGAAGCGTTGGCAGCGGGCCGAGAGACTTGGTCTCAACCCGCCCATCGAAGTCCTTGCGGTCTTGCTCAAGGAGGAGCAGAAAGGAAACTCACTCGAGCGGGCACACATGGACGAACTCATGAACACGACGGTGGTTGGGCCCGCTTAGGGACAAGGTAATCAGCGGGAAGTGTGTGATTAAGACTCAAGGCAGGGGAGTTTGGAGTTTTATACAAGTGCATTATGAGCAAACACTCGCGAGTCCACACATAGCGGTATGAATGTACGAGGATTTGCTTTACAAATGGTCAGCCACATTAGATTTGCCGCGCTGGAAAACATTAGCCCGGAATTAAACCCCATATCAGAGGCGTTGATTGCCACTCCATCTTTGCGATGGCATGCCGCGCAGCTGCTCTAATACCAGATGCTTCTCGTCCGGTGATGTCCCACCGTCTCTGCACCAGCGGCCTCCAGCTCCTTCATGGTATCATACAAAAAGAAATCAATCAAGATGGCGTTGACGCTCGTTCCGGGGTGCTCCTTTTGGATCTCCCGCTTGATGAGCTCGACGCACCAGATACTGCACGCTGGCCCATAGTTAGCACGCCAAGCACAATGTCTCGTTTCGTCGGCCTCACCTCTCATTTGCAACTCCAACCTCGATCCACTTTCAATGACTCGCTTGTCGATGATGGCCGTCGCCAGCGAAGGGCTATAGTACAAGCAGCCCATAGTGCTGAGGATCTGCGGAACGCGGTAGTCGGCGAACATTGTGATCTTGTCAATGTCCCTGAAAGCACCGAGGCCCTCACCGCCAAAGCACGCCCAGATGTCCGCCACGAGGATCTGTGCCCTCTTGAGAACTCTCACGGGCTTCCGTCGACCCTCAAACTTGTGCTCGTCGCGGAAACAGTCAAAGTCCCCGGCGAGCAGGTTGACCATCCTGGCGGCAGAGCCGTCGGCGGCCTCGATGAGCTTTGTAACGCTGCAATTGTACCTGTTGTACAGCACGGTACCAGCTTCACGCAGGCAAGCCAGACGCTCCTCGAGCAAGGGCATCTCCTCCTCCGTCTTGGAGCGAAAGACATGCCTCATGAGTTCCATGTTACAATCATCCTCGCTCTGCCAGAAGTCGGAGCTGGTGATGGGGATGCCCTCGTCGAGAGCGCGCTGCAGCGAGGCAACCATGCTCCAGTATCCGGTCCAGGTCTTGCCGCGATACTCGACGGCGTATCTCTCGTCGTCGGGCTTTTCGGACCAGAAGCAGAAGTTGAGCAAGTCCATGGTGAAGATGAAAGCTGCGGTGGCCTCGTCCTTGGTTTTGGGGTGCAGCTCATGCTCGGCCCAGGTCGAGGTCGAGTACTGCTTTTGCTCCATCTGAGCGTAGATGGTGGCGGCGGCGCGCTTAGTAGCCCTCATGTCAATGGCGACATCGATGGAGTTATCGTAGACGAACTCAGCGCCATCGAGGACACCCGTCTCCGGCTCATCATCGATTTTGAGCTTGCCCTGGAAGTGCTGGCGCAGGAGAGCCAGGAGTTCGGGGTCGGCCTCGTCGTCGGACATGATGGGCGTACCAGGAAGGGTTGCACTCGGAATGTCTCTGGAGGGATCTGCACGAATGCGGCCTTTCCTTTGGCTGGCTGCACCACCTCGATGGTTCTGGCCAGCGGCGTTGCAATCCTTTTTCTAAGAGGGGGTGATGATGGCAGCGCAGGTTTGGACGTTGAACCAGGCGGCTCATAGACCCATACTGCTGCACTGACCCCTTTGTTTTCGTTGCTGAATCACCGCTTGATAACAAGTGGCGATCAACCCAGAAGTCCCCTGATGGACAATCTCGTTTCTATACTTGAATATATTTGATCCCCTGTTCGACGGTTAAATCCGCTGCTTGCCATGTGGCAAGACGTTCGTTTCGCCTACAAGTTTGTTAGGAAACGGCCCGGCAGAGAGGCGCAGTGAACCCTCGGAAGGGGAGCATGCGAAATCCCGTCCCTGGGCAGGTTGACTAGTCCAGCGTGCCACAGTGGCTGCGGGATGCATAGGCTGCCGATGTTACAGCGCACTATCCGTACAGTGGACTCCTACTGCAAGAGACTAAGACCCGGCTTTCTTGACCAATCAGATCTCGAGCGCGGTAATTCCCCAGGAACCAACAGCTACAATCCCTGCTGAATCCCGTCACCGGCTGCAAGTATTGGCTGGAACAACCTTGCTCTAAGCGATCGTTCCTTCCACCGACCTCAGAAAAACCTCAACCTTTTCTACCGCAGCCTGCAGCCTCGCCTCGCCCTCCGTGCTGAAACCACCCGCCCTCGTCTCATCCATCCTGGCGCGGGCTTATTTCTTCTCCCCTTCACTTCTTTTACCCTCTCTCGATTGCTGCTCCCCGTCACAACGCCGCCCCGTGGCAACCCCCTATCGACCATCATCGACGCACAGAACAACTTCTACAACACCGCGAACTGAGCCCGATGGATCCCACTGCGGAAGCGGGAGCTGCTGCCCCCGCGGCGACCGCCGCAGAGCCGATCGTGCCCACCGTGACGGCGACGGCGACTGCCACTGCACCACCACCAGAACAAGAGCAGCAGCCAATGCAACCTACAACCACCGCGGCTCCCGCTGCGCAGCCGCCCGCGCATTCGATGCAACAGCAACAACAACAACAACAACAACAACAAGAGCAGCAGAAGCCGCAACAAGGGCAGCAGCAAGGGCAGCCGCAGAAGCCGGAGAAGCAGCAGCAGCAGCAGCAGCAACAACAGCAAAGACCTGCCGTTCAGCCGCGCGATCGATTCTACCAGCAATCGCTCGGCGGAGCTTTGAATACCAATGTCAAAAAGGTACGTTGTAACCTGTCGAACCCGGCGCATCAGACCACGCGACCTTCCCTTCAATCATGTATTCATCTTGCAACGGCGCCGACTCACTATGCACTTCTTACAACGACGCGATTTCGGAATACTGTCTATTTAAAGATTCAATGGAGCTAACGCTAATCGCGCAGGCGCGCGTGTTGATGGTCGGAGCTGGCGGTATCGGATGCGAACTCCTCAAAAACCTCGTCCTTACAGGCTTTGGCGAAGTCCATGTCGTCGATCTTGATACAATTGACCTGAGTAACCTGAACCGACAATTCCTCTTCCGCTACGAGCACATCAAGAAGTCCAAGGCTCTGGTATGGTCTCCGACCCTGCGATGTACGCTTGGAGGTACTGCAATACTGACTTGTCCAAGGTTGCCAAGGACGCGGCACAGCTGTTTAACCCCAAGGTTAAGATTGTTGCGCACCATGGGAACATCAAGGACCCCCAGTTCAACGTCAACTGGTTCCGGGGCTTCAACATCGTTTTTAATGCTCTGGATAATCTTGAGGCAAGACGACATGTCAACAGAATGTGCCTCGCCGCCGACGTTCCCCTGATAGAGAGCGGCACGACTGGGTTCAACGGCAATGTCCAGGTTATCAAAAAGGGAGTAACCGCATGCTATGACTGCACCCCCAAGGAGACACCCAAGTCCTTCCCGGTCTGCACTATCCGAAGCACGCCGAGTCAGCCTATACACTGTATCGTTTGGGGTAAGAGCTACCTGCTCAACGAGATTTTCGGGACAAGCGAAGACGAGTCCGCTTTCGACAACACAGCCGACGCCGACAACGCCAAGGAGATTGAGGAACTGAAGAAAGAGGCCGCCGCTCTTAGAACGATTCGCGAATCCCTGGGCACCGAAGCCTTTGCTCAGCTTCTCTTCGACAAGGTCTTCAGCGCCGATATTGTGCGATTGGCGTCTATGGAAGACATGTGGAAGTCTAGGCGGAAGCCAGAGGCCCTTGACTTCAAGTCTCTATCTGAGCAGTCGACAGACGCTCTTGCATCGAAGGACGAAATCCTCAAGGACGGACAAAGCGTGTGGTCATTGGAGCAGAATTTTGCAGTGTTCATCGATAGCCTGGACCGGCTGAGCAAGCGGATGCTGGAGCTGAAGAAGGCTCACAAAGACGCATCTGGGCCGGAGCCTCTGATCACGTTCGACAAGGACGACGAGGACACATTGGATTTCGTCACAGCCAGTGCCAACATCCGATCATCCGTCTTCGGTATTGAGCGCAAGTCTCGCTTCGATATAAAGCAGATGGCTGGCAACATCATCCCAGCCATCGCGACAACCAATGCCATCGTCGCAGGCCTTTGTGTTCTTCAGTCATTCAAGGTGTTGAGAGGCGACTTCACTCAGACTAAGGAGGTATGGTCGAACTCTTTATGTTGTTGCCAGAGTTTTGGTCTAATGTTCTGCTAAGGTTTTCATCTCCCCTCATAACCCTGCCCGTCTGCTCAATTCGAGCAAGTATCGGGCCCCCAACCCGGATTGCCCGGTGTGCAGCGTATATCAGACGAGTGTGTCCGTCGACTTGTCTAGAGCCACGCTTAAGGATCTTGTCGAGGACTTTGTGCGTCTGGAACTTGGCTACGGCGACAAGGAGTTTGCCGTGAACAACGACGCAGGCCCGCTCTACGACCCGGATGAGACGGAAAACCTATCCAAGAAGCTCAGCGATCTTGGCATCAATGAAGATACTTTCCTCACCGTCATCGATGAAGATGATGAAGAGCCCTTCGTCAATGTCGTCATCAGTATCCAGGAATCGTACGTCTATCTCTCTATTTATGACCAAAAAAGACCTCACTGACACCCTTACAGCAAGGAGCCCTCGGACGACAAACCTGTCAAAGGCTTGGTTGTGGATCAGAAACCCGAGATTCCTCGTAAACCCAAGAAGCAGGCCCCCGCGGAGTCGAACGGTACAGGCGAGCAGAGCGGTAAGCCTACCGTTGACGTTGAAGGGGAATCGAGTAACCTCAAGCGACCTCGGTCGGACGACGGCGACGAGCCGATTGAAGCGAAGAAGGTCAAGGTTGCCCCAACAAACAACGACGACGTGGTCGTTGTGGATGATTCGACAGGTGGAGCTATCGTCATTGACGACTGATAATGGGCCCCATTTTCAACATCAGGGGGGGTGCCCCTCCGACTAGAACGTGGAGCTCCACGCCAGCTCAGACAGCACTTAGCCCGCCATCCAGATTCAGGATGCAGTTATTGGCATAAGTGTTTTGGGCGAGGAAAGCAGCAGCATCGGCCACCTCGTCAGGCCGGCCCAAGCGCCCCAGTGGAATTCGCTTCTCGAGGGGCTCTTTCGACATTGCTGTGATAATAAATATGTACATTAGTCATGCTCTGGCCAAGGGCATTGGCCCACCGGACCCTCGGAAATCGGTCTGGCTGCTAGGGTGGGAGATGGGGTCTCTTACAAGCCAGCATATTGGTTTCTATGTAGCCAGGGACGATGGCATTGGTCCTAATGCGCAGCGGTCCCAGCTCAACAGAGAGAGCGTGGGTTAGGCCTATGGGAGTCGGCGTCGCCAAATGTTAGACTTGGCCTATTACAATGGGGAGATGGTGAGGTAGCAAAAGATACAGCAGCGCATGGTGTGCGCGATGTACAAGAAGAGGGAAAAAAAAGCCGAAAATGAAGAGAAACTAATACCAAGACAATAACATACCGATTATACCGGCCTTTGACGCGGCGTAGACACTGGTGCCAGGGCTGCCCTTTTCGGCCAGCAGGCTCGCAACGTTGATTATGCAAGCTTGTAAGTGGGACGACTTGGTCAGCAGGACTGTTACCGCAGGACGTGCGTGCACTCACTGCATGCATGCATGGAGCTGGTCTATCTGTGCGGCGGTAGCGATCAGATCGATCACACAGTGTGGTGGGAGTGACAATCGTGGGAGTGTATCATGCCGAGAAGGAGAAGGAGAAGGAGGAAGAGGTGGAGGACACGGTTGCCATGACTTACCATCCCTGTCTGCGCGCCTGCGCTTCATGCGCTGGGCCATGTACCTCGACATGAAGATTGTGCCCATGAGGTTGGTGTCTACAAGCTCCCTCGCAGCCTGGGGAGAAGTGTTCTGCAACAACTGGAACTGTGCAATACCCGCCGCATTGATCAGGACGTCTATCTGGCCAGTACGTTTCTACGAGTGGGGGGGGAAGATGCCCCTGTCAGTTTGGTGTGTTTTCACAGCAATTAGGACACCACGGAAGCAGCCTCAGTCAGCTCTTGGTTGTCATGATGGAGCAAGGAGCCGAAAGAGAAGAGAGAGGAAGGGATGGGCCAGAGAAAAAGAGGAGAAAGGCGGAGACAAACCCAGATGTCATCCAAGACGGCATCGTCACGTCCGTCGGCGGAGACGTCCATGACGGCGTAGGAGTGTGTGGGCATTTCCCCGTTGGCAGGTGTTGAAGACGCTGCGGCCGCGGTCAGGGGGGCGAGGCGGGAGTCCTGGAAGGGCGGCAGGCGGTCGCAGAGATCGCGCAGCTTGTCCTCCTTGCGACCGAGGAGAGTGACGAGGGCGCCCTCGGCGGCGAAGCGGGCGGCAATGGCGGCGCCGATGCCGCCGTATGCGCCGGTGATGAGGCAATGGCGGGCGCGGAGAGGGAGGAGGGCGGCAGACATCTTGCGGTTTGCCTAGGTTCGGTCAGAATGAGACGGGTGGGAAAGCCTGGATAGGAGTGTTGGTCTGCTGCTGCTGCGGCGGCGGCGGTGGCGGTTCTGGTGGACTACGATACGTTGAGGTGTGTGTAGCTTGGTGGGAACGCGGAAAGGGAGCTTTGAACGTGTCGCCTGGGATGCCTGAGTTTAATTTTGAGTGTGTGGGGGGGAGTAAATTGATCTGCCGGCTTTGACAACCTCCCTCGACACGGATCATCAAAAGCAAAGCAGCCGTTGTAAAGGAAACAGCAAGTCAGGTATCAAATAATCCCATGTAGAGTTGGACTGCTCTCTCATGCTGATATTGTACCTATTCCCCTCGTAAGGTTGCCCCGCCGTTACGCTTCGTACAACTTTAACATGGGAATTTGTGGCGTTCTGCGAAATACGATGTACTCTGGTAGCTTTCCGTGGGAAACCCCGTCCAGTCGTTGCGTTGAAAGAAGCCTCGCGGACACGGAAAACGGTCCTAATGGGTAATGCAAATGCGGGAATGCACCTCGTAATCTGAAGAGCTCGGTGCGGAGAAGCGTGTGATAAGACAAGTCAAAGACAGGATGGGATGAGACGAGAGTAAGAGGTCCCGAGACTGAAGACCACGAGGGAGGGGAATGGAGTTTTGTCAGGAATATGCTTGAATGTGCTCGGGCGAGCTGTTTGCTGGTGTGCCAAAAGATCGAGCCCCCTCCCTCCAAGAATGGGTAGCTTGGGCAGCAGGGCAGCAAGACAGTTGATAATGGCATTATCTGCAGTGATGTTTATGTCTTGGGCCGGTATCAGAGGGGAAGGTAACCCTATTCCGAGGGCTTGTCCCATTGCGTCTCATGTTCAAGCTCCCGGATGGTGAGACAGGCGCCCGCCCATTGAGAAAGCCCGCCATGCTGTCGTCTTCTCCACTCCTTCTGGTGCATGGAAGCAAGACATTTCCCGAAGCCCCACGGGTGAATGTGTAGGTATCGTGCTGTCTCGATGGCCCAAGATTGTTGTACTCGCATCGTATATCTGCCTAGGTAGGTAGCATCCTGATGCCGTGTTGCGGCGCCATATGGAAGGAAGGTCGAGGCCCAGCTGGCCGCGCCTACCCTGTGTGACGGTTAGATAAAGAAGGTGTTACTTGCTTTAACTACCTACCCTTGCGAATTTACCCCCAAACGCCGGAGCACAGTATGCAGTATGATACTTACACCACAGAGATCTACCTATCTAGGCAGGTAGGTAGGTACGGGTAGGAACGAACCTAAGCGCGCGGGGCGAGAATTTGAGGTACATCAACCAAAGTACTTGTAGACCTGTGAAAGAAAGGCAACTGGCGATGATAGCTGTGGCGGTGAACTACCTCTACCTACCTAGGTACCTACTACCGATCAATCCAATATGCCTCGTGGTGCTAGACACCAGCGCTAGTGCAAGAAAGACCCTTTCAGTGACTAGGTATCTCATCCCATCTTCCTGACGGGGTTGAACGCTGATTTGCAGTTCCGAATTAACAGTCGCCTTCTGCCTCGGCTGCCGTCACAGGCTCGCCCTCACGTCAGCCACTCTCTTTCCTCTTCCAACTTCTTGCTCGTCCCACGGCTGAGGTACTTGGACCGGAAGTACACATCAGCCCCGCCCTCTGTCCCAGAAGAAGCAGTCCCCTCCCTCCCACACTACGCCACGCCGGCGGTTCCAGTTGCAGTAGTTCGAGTGCCAGTTACAGTTTCCCGCGCCCGTTGGTGGTCCGGACGCAACATCGCAATCCCACCACCCTCAGTGCTGCTTTGCTGCTGCTTCTGCTGCTGCTGCGTCCCTCTCTCTTCCTTCTGTTCTATTTCCTCCCCGCAAACCTCTGGAATCGTTTTGTCGCTGGTGATCCCCTGCCGCGCGACCACTCGTTTTCACCATCAAACCAACTGCGGCGTTTCGGGCAGCGAATGCGCAGCCTCCTACAGAGTCGCCGAACAAGCTTCCCCTCCACCACAAACCCTTACACTAGCCGCCCCCGACCCTCCTCCTACCTACCCATAGCCACGATCCACACAACCGCACAACTGCAAACCAACACGCGACCCAAACTGCCGCCTCAACTCCCCCCACGAGGAAACGGATGGCCGTATGCTTTGCGAACGCGACCTCCGACAACGCCCGATGACTAGCCATACCAATGGCGCCGCGACGGCGCCAAAGTCTGTCCCGGAGCGTCGCGATGCAACCGTATCGAACTCTACAGTTGCCGACGCAGCGGCCGTCCCCGATGCCCTCGCTCCGCCCCTCATTACAGTCAAGGGCCCTAGCGACGCGCCCGACGCGGGTCTGAGGAGTCTCGATCATTGTACGCTGCTATAGCCATCTCAGTTTTGTCTTTCTTCATTCGGCCTATCCTGCCCTCCCCCCAACGCGCCTTGCGCATGTACGCGGGGCCGCCGTCGCAAACCGCAAAAGATTGGACTGACCTCACCATCGAAACAGATAAGAGAGCGCTGCCAACATGGCGATACCGACTGCGACAGTGGATGCTGCCACTCATCCGATGGGAGACTCCGTATCTGGCTTACCTGCAGGAGACGATGCGCACCCCGTGGCTCGATAGTTATTTTGCGATTACGGCGAACCTCGGCACCCATACCTTCTTCATGATCGGCTTGCCCATGCTCTTTTGGTGCGGCTACGCCTCCTTCGGCAAAGGGTGAGCAACAGTCAACCTGCGTGTTTGTCGAGTGCCCGTCTAATTAGCTGCGCTCTCCAGTGTTATCCACATTCTTGCCGAGGGCGTCTTCTTCACTGGCTTCATCAAGGACTTCTTCTCCCTCCCACGGCCGCTTTCCCCGCCGTTACAGCGAATCACCATGTCCGGTTCTGCCGCGTTGGAATATGGCTTTCCGTCAACCCATAGCGCCAATGCCGTGTCAGTAGCCGTCTATGGCGTCTTACTCCTGCGCAGCCCCGACAACACCATGGCAGAATCGACCAAGACTCTCCTTGAGGGGCTGTCATACTTTTATGCCATCTCTATCATCTTTGGCCGTTTGTACTGCGGCATGCACGGCTTCATTGACGTCGTCGTCGGGTCGATTCTAGGCGCCGTTATCTCGCTCGCCGAGTTTCACTACGGCCCTCCTTTGGATGCGTACATGCACAGCAGCTCGTGGTGGGCACCCGTTATCGCCGCTCTCGTGGTCATTGTACTCGTCAGGATCCATCCAGAGCCTGCGGATGACTGCCCTTGCTTCGATGACAGCGTTGCTTTTGCCGGCGTTGTGATTGGTCTGGAAATCGGAACATGGATGTACGGGCGGACCTCGATCGATTCCTTTGGAGGATCCGCCCACAGCGTCAAGTCCATTGATCTCGGCGCTCTTGGGTGGCACGTTGTCCTGGCCCGTGTCGTATTCGGCATCTTCGTCATCTTCGTGTGGCGAGAGGTCATGAAGCCGACCATGCTCAAGATTTTGCCGCATCTTTTCCGTCTCTTGGAGAAGGTCGAGTGGAATCTCCCCCGACGTTTCTTCACCCCGGCGTCCAAATACAAGGTTATTGACCCTGGCTCGAGGATGGATAACCTCATCCCCTCGGTCAGAGACTTCCCCCGCGTGGTTCAGTCCATCCGTCATCCGACGACGCGTGGCCGTTCAGTATCGATCGGGCCTCAGAGTGCCGCCGATGCGTATGAGACGCTGGCATACCGCGAGCGCCGGCGGCGGGAGAGCATTGGCAGCAACGGCAGTATCAAGAGCAAGGGTAGCATGCACGAGCTTCGGGAAAAGAGCGGCGATTGGGAAGGGAAGGGGGCGACATCCGGTTTACAGGGTCATCACGTTAACTCGCTGCACGATTTTGAGCGCATGATGGGCACTGGCAGCGTCCTGTCGAGCCCGAGTGAGGAGAAGGGTGAACTGGACTTGACTGTAGGCCAGCAAGACGAAATCAGTGAGAAGGAGATGTTCCTGCGACTAATTCGACCTCGCGTGCGTTACGACGTCGAGGTGGTTACCAAGCTGGTTGTCTATACAGGCGAGTCTTGTGTTCCTGGACCTTCACCACAGTTGCTGACAGATGACAGGTATCGCATGGCTGGGCGTCGGCCTGATCCCCATGATGTTCGAGCTGGTTGGCCTTGGATCCAACCACCTTCGCACTGCCTAATTCAAGGCTCTTGTTTTCGACGGTGCCATCTAAAGACATCGTCCCACCCCTTCTTATTCTTCTTGTCCTCTCTGCATGATGCATAGGCACGGATCTATCGAGAGTGCGCCAGTAGGAGGAACGATGGGATACATGAGAGTGACGCATAGTAATTTTTTTGACGAGAGCACGACGTACTGTATATTCTTCTGGCGCTTGCATCCAGCTAGGGATGGGGTTTCAACCCTTTTGCTTGTCGGTTTGTCAGGCCCGTCTTCTCCCGTAATGACATGGGTTCGCCTAGGCGTTTATGGAAAGTGGAGAGAAAGCTGTTGTTTTGTGTACTACGATGCAGGGTGGCAATACTGTGAAATTTGTCTGGCGAGCCTAGAGTGAGGGAACCATCGGAGCCTTGCTGCTTTGGAATGACAATAGGCGGCTTGTTTTGAGTGTGCTACAGCGAGAGCCTTTTATCCGTGACATGCAAGTTGCCAGGTCTTAAGGACGGATGGTCTGCTGCCGAAAAATGCAGGTGAGATGGGCGACAGATAGTTATTGCGTGCTTTATAGAAGCCCCCTCACCTTATACCCATTCTACCATGGCCAACTCTACCACCCACTTTGGGCTATTGATGTCATAAGTTTTTTGCCTACCGTGGCAACCACTGCCGCCGGAGTTCACTTCGACTTCGTACAAGGCAGGAATCCGTATGGCTCGTCACAGACGAGCTGAGCAACCGTTTCAAGAGATAAGTCGTAGGCCATCCATCGCAAAGCGGCATGTCCGCTAACTCTTCATGCCGGAAATCCGACAAGCATCGTCGCCTCGCCCCCGTGGCCCTGCAGGTCGGACTGGGACTCCTCTCCGCTGCGTGGAGCTCAAGATCCACGTTTATAGTTCACGCCATCTACCGATACAGGGTCGAGGGAACTGGCGTGTGGGTCTTGCGATCCAGATCTTCATCGTTTCTTCTCCCCATCCCACCCCCTCACCGCTTAGTGCGGAGTTGCTGTTACCGGATTACATGTGGTGCTGCCACGGGAGGGGCCCTTGGTGATGCTATCCCTTCGAGAGAACTCGCCGCTTTCTGCCTTTCGAGCGCAAAGATGGACGGATAGGGCAGTGGACGGTATTGCTTGGATGGCGGGTCAGGCACAAGCGCGCCAACCAGACGATCGTGGGCCACGTGCATGCCGAGCGGCCGCCCAAGAAGCTACCGCTTGCCAGGGGAGAAGAGGATTGGATCATCGGACGATCGGCTTGCCACGCGGCGGATGATCTTGGCCGGTAGGGCTGGTATGGGTCCCGGGACTTCGGGACACGGAGCCCATGCCGCATGCCAGATTATCAGATCTCGAGGCCCGACTCCATTGGGCGAAGCTTAAAGGGCCTTTCGACGAGGTGGCTGACCGATTCGCGTGCCCGACGTGATGTCTGCACGGGGGCTCGCGGGCGTCACTGAGACCTAGAGGCCAACAAATCATCCAGCAGCCGATCCGCATCCCGCGCAAGGCCATGTCCGGTGGCAGCAGTCAAGGAGCAACGATTTTGCGATGCAGCCACAACAACTTGGCATCGTTGGTATCGACATTTGCACCAACCGAGCACAGAGCAATGGATTTCATCGTCTACTCTCCCGCATCAATCAGCAAGGATCCTGATGTCAGCGGGAATTCCAGAGACAAGTCGCTAGTAGCGAAACCATCATCCAACGTTGTGAACATCGGTCGCTGCAGGCCTGACAAAGTTGCGCATAAATCGCAATCAAACAGTTTTTCTTTGGCGAAAAGCGCGGTTGCCAAACTGCGAGCAACGAGCGACGTCATTTTCCTGCAGTCCTCCAGCGGTCAGCGATTGGCCTTATCGCCTTAGGCATCTGAGGACACCTAGTCGGGACTAGCGCGAATTCGATCGAGGGGGGCAAGAACGAAGAAGCGAGGGAAAGGGACGAGGGAAGAAGGAAGGGGGAGCTCGGCCGGGTGCTGTTTCCTATCTGCATGCCTGCCAGGTTCTCCCATTCTTTCGCTTTCGGGAACCCAGAAGGTACGACCTTGGCCTTCCGCCCCACATAGCCGAGCACCAGCACCGCGCCTGCAGCTCCTTCCTACACCTCGGTTTTGGTCTTTGGTCTTTGTAACCAACAGAGACGAGCAATTCACAAAGTCTTTTTTTTTTTTTTTTCCCTTTTTTTTTTCTGCAGCCCTTCACCCTGACTATACCTGTACTAAGAAGCTGGTCAAGGTATTAATTTTGTATTTGTGCAAAGGTGTAGAGGAGGACAACCTTGAGAGGTACGGTACACTCCCTCGCAACCTTGGCCCTTTTCAATCAGCCCAGATTCGCCAAATATCGGCCCATTTTAGCGAGCTGCCCCAGCCAGAGAGCACTTTCCTGCTGTTCCCTACAGTGGCCAACCACCTTCCCCCCGCAGAATCTGATAACCAAACGAACGAACCTATTCTCCGCACTCGACGAGACAGACGTCTGCACCTCATATTTTCGGCCACTTGAACCAAACCAGCCCGCGCACCACTCACTTACAGTTCTACCATCTTCAAGAGGTGCAAACCAAAAAAACCGAAGCCGCATGCACGGTCGCATGTAGTCTCCTCTAAGATGTCGACCGACGCTGCCAGCGCTCCAGTCCCGGAGCCTGTGACTGTGCCGGCGCAACCAGCCAAGACTGCCGACCACGACCAGGAGGAACCCGCGCTTGGTCAGATAGAATGTGCGAAGCCCGCCTTCCTCCACTCCCCACCCGACAGTAATAATGCGCACAAGTCGGAAGCCAGCGACTCGGAGCTCAGCGACCTCGACGAGGAGGCTGTTGACCCTTCTGCGACGGCGAAAGAAGATGAGACCCCTGTCGAGGACGACATTGGCGACGTCCTCCCGGATCACTGGTCCGGGACCGTCCCTGTCTTCAAGCCGACGATGCACCAGTTCAAGGACTTCAAGTTATTCGTACGCATTCCCTGTCTCCCAGTGCATCCCCTTCCTGTGCCATCCGTGACTGACTCCGAATGCGCTTGTAGATGACCAAGGTAGATCATTATGGAATGAAGTCTGGCATCGTCAAAATCATCCCTCCCTCCGAGTGGAAAGAATCCCTTCCGAGACTCGATGACCTAGTGAAGCAGATCAGGGTCAGGGAACCCATTAAGCAAGATATAATGGGGTCGAATGGAACATATCGACAAGTCAATATTCTCCATCAGCGATCCTATAACCTGCCGCAGTGGCGGCAGCTCTGCGACCAAAGCGAACATCAGCCCCCTGCGAGGCGAGGCGAGCGCCGAGCCAATGTCGAAAAGCCGAAGCCCCGATCCGCTGCCAGACCTCGCGCTGAGGCGAAATCGACCTCGTCCGGTTCTAAGAAGAAGGGGCGAGGTCGACCGCGGCGTGGGAAAGCCAAGGGCAAGAGCCAAGATGAGGAAAACGACGATCAAGAAGACGAGAAGCGCCCGATGACCCCGATATCACCTAAGCCAGACGCCGACGTTGAGGTGAAGAAAGAGGAGCTGGTCAACTCGGTGGAGGATCCGGGAATGGATGAAGAGGAAGAAGAAGAGCCACGCGCCTTGGGCAGAATGGGTCGTATGGGTGGCGTCAAGCCCGTAAAGCCGAAGACCCAGAGCGTCTCGGCTCGTCGGAAGTACAGTAAGAGAGAAGGCTCCGCAATGATCGACGAAAAAGCATTCGAGGATTTCGACTATCAGATGGACGTGTCTGACTATACGCCGGAGCGCTGCGAAGAGCTGGAGAGGATATATTGGAAAACCCTCACGTACGCCCCGCCGCTGTATGGCGCAGATCTCATGGGCACACTCTTCCACGAGTCAACGGAAATCTGGAATCTGAACAAGCTTCCAAACCTACTGGATGTTCTTGGCACAAAGGTTCCAGGTGTCAATACGGCCTACCTCTATTTGGGCATGTGGAAGGCCACATTTGCGTGGCACTTGGAGGACGTCGACCTCTACAGCATCAACTATCTTCACTTCGGCGCTCCGAAACAATGGTACAGCATCTCGCAGGCTGATGCTCGTCGTTTTGAAGCTGCCATGAAGAACATCTGGCCTACTGACGCCAAGGCTTGTGATCAATTCCTCCGCCACAAGGGATTCCTGATATCTCCATCACATCTGAAGCAGCACTACAACATCACAGTCAACAAGTGCGTCTCGTATCCAGGTGAATTTGTTGTCACGTATCCTTATGGTTACCACTCTGGCTACAACCTTGGTTACAACTGCGCCGAGGCTGTCAACTTTGCGCTTGATTCGTGGCTCCCCATGGGCAAGATCGCCAAGCGTTGCGAATGCGCCCAGGCACAGGACAGTGTTTGGGTCGATGTGTATGACATTGAACGAAAGCTGCGCGGCGAGCCGACTCCTGAGTACGAGGAGACCGAAGACGAAGAGGAAGACGAAGATGAGGACGAGGACGATGCCACTGGTCTTCCGTCGCCACCTGATAGCAATGGGGTTATAAAGCCTGCTCGGAAGCGGAAACGTGCGACTGGAGACAAGGATGGCGAGAGGAAGGTCAAGAAAATCCGCCTCAAGGTCAAAACGCGCGCGGAGCCAATCTGCTGCCTTTGTCCCAACGACATTCCCGGCTCAGAAATTTTGCCAACAGACGATGGCCGGAAAGCCCATCGTATGTGTGCACTTTACCTCCCCGAGACGTATATCGACACGGTAGACGACAAGGAGGTGATCGCCAACGTTGCCCACATCAGCAAGGAACGCCTGGACCTCAAGTGTCTCTACTGCCGATCCAAGAAGGGCGCCTGCTTCCAGTGTTCCCAGAAGAAATGTGCTCGAGCCTACCACGCAACTTGCGCGGCAGCGGCAGGAGTTTTCGTCGAAGAGGCAGAAGTTCCAGTCTTTGGTGAGGATGGAACCGAATACAAGGAGCAAGCGTTCGAGTTTAGTTGTCGTTTCCACCGCACCAAGCGTGACAGGAAGTACGATGGCGATGCCCTGGAAGATGACCTTCGCATCCGCAACGGTGC